ATTCACCATACTGTACAGTCATCACTGTTTTCTAAGTTTTTCATCCCTCCCTAAAGAAAAACCTAGTATATATTATGCAGTAATCCTTCCCCCTCCCATCCACCCTGCTAAAAAACTTCTTGTTAAGAACTTCTGTCTCTACGCATTTTCCTATTCTGGATATTTCATTTTAGTGGGGCCATATGGTATGTACTTAATGTGTAGCTTACTTTTCTTTTAATTGTGGTAAATATACATGTAACAAAGCATTTGCCCTATCAACAATTTTACAATCCTACCACCCATCATTGAGCATAGTGTTTTCAAAGTTCATCCGCATATAGTATGTATTAGAACTTCATTTCCTTCATGGCTGAATTATTTTCAGTCTTTTCTATAAACATCCAGAAGTTTAGGTTTCCAGTTGTCAGTGTTGTAAGGTTGGATTTGTCATCTCCAAATGCCTTGGTCTTCTGTGGAAAATAATAGCTTCCATTTGCTGAACTGTCTGTCCTGTGCTTGTTTTCTGCCTATCACCTATAAAAATGTGTCCTCTCACTGGCTGATTTCATGTTACGCTTCCAGCAGACTTCCATCTGGATGCCCCATTGTCACTTCTAAATTAGCTTATTATCTAAGACCATCTCTGTCAATCGTTCCCTACCCCACACTTTATTTTTCATAACAGTACCACACTCTCCCAGCACTTAAAGTTTGTGTCGTATTTTTTTTATTGAAGTATCTCCATTACCCACAAACATTTTTTTTTTCTCCCTCCTCCTCCTGATCACCACTGCTTTGCCCTAAACTCACAAACTTTTCCTGCCTCTATATAGTTATATTATACGGTCTGGAATGATGCAGGAAAAGAATTCTTAAGAGCTCAAATCAGACAATATTTTAAAATCACAATAGGCATAACTATGAGTTAGAAATACATTGCATTATGTGGAATACTTCCAAGCACAACTCTTTGCTATAAATATTCTCTACAGGCAATGAACACCAGAGAAAGTGGCAAAGCTTCATCCAGTTTAGGACTTCAAGATTTTGATTTGCTCCGGGTAATAGGAAGAGGAAGTTATGCCAAAGTACTACTGGTTCGATTAAAAAAAACAGATCGTATTTATGCAATGAAAGTTGTGAAAAAAGAGCTTGTCAATGATGATGAGGTAAGCACAGCGAGGTGTTCCTACAGCTAAACTCGGTCTGTCTTCCAGGCCCAGGCTTCATTGTTTTAGTGTATGCTTCTAAACATGTGCTTCAAAACACTGTAAGAGATATTTATTATAGCTTATTTTGGTTTTGTTCTTATATCTTTTAAAAACAAAAATCAAACCATATCAGGAGAAAGCATACTTGAGTGGTATGAAATTTTTCTAGGTAATGTCATTATAGTGAAAGATTTACTTTGATTTATTGGAAATGCTAGAGGTATATATCTTTTCGTATGTCATGATTAGTAATTGTTTGGTATTAACCTAGTTGGTAATACTTACGGGATGATTCCCTTGCTAAGAACACATACATTGGGCTATGATTTCTGTTAGATGTCACTTATTTCTCTCATATTTTAAAATAGGATATTGACTGGGTGCAGACAGAAAAGCACGTTTTTGAGCAGGCGTCCAATCATCCTTTCCTTGTTGGGCTACATTCTTGCTTTCAGACGGAAAGCAGGTAAGATGGAAGCACAAGGGCACGATTGCTGGACTTTGCACATCGGTATATTCCACTAACAAAACCCTTTCTCCTGATTTGTGGAGTAGAAGTCATGGAGAAAGACAGACAATGCTGTATTTATAACTTCCGGCAGCTCTGTTCAGTCAGTGACATGGATAAGCATGGAAAGCATCAGGAAATCGCTTGCTTTAGGCAACAATAAAATGTAGCCAGATCATGATTATGACAATAGCAATGTAGTCTTTAAAGTAACCTGGGGTTTGTTTTAGGATTTATGGTTTCTCTGGAATTTCACTGCAGGAGCCCTGGTGGCACGGTGCGTTAAGACTAGGACTGCGAACCACAAGGTCAGCTGTTTGAACCGAACCCCAAGAGAAAGATGAGCCTTCCTGCTCCTGTAGGCATTTGCAGCCTCAAAACCCTCGGGCAGTTCTCTGTCTTTAGGGCCAGTCACTATGAGTCAGAATTGACTCCATAGCAGTGAGAGTTTGGAGAGTTTCACTGAGGTGGGGAAGAAGGAGATTAGAACTTCTTTATCTTGGGCGACAGCTGACAATTATTTATCTTATCAATGCTAACATTGGGGTGAGAGAGATTATGGTGTGCAAGCAGTACGACTTTAGAATAGATAGAAGTTACAGAATTACTATCACGTGGGTTTACTTTTCCTTTTTGCTAAGATTAAACAGCTTACTATTCCCACCACTTTTGCTTCTTCTCAATTTCTGCTGTTTATGAAGCATGTAGAATGCTCTCTCTGTCATGGCTGATTTCTGAAGGGGTTAAATTTGCAAGTTGATGCTACCTTATTTTGGGACTCTTGGCTGCATGGGTTCTCTCTTGTGTTTTAGGTTGTTCTTTGTTATAGAATATGTAAATGGAGGAGATTTAATGTTTCATATGCAGCGACAAAGAAAACTTCCTGAAGAACATGCCAGGTAAAAAACTTTTTTGTTGCTAATTTGCTTGTCTTGGATTGGGTGCAGGGGCGACTTTTATTTGTCAGTGGTTGAAAACAGTAGATATTTATTTTGATAGTAGTTAAATTTTTCTAAGTGGAGATTGAGCTAAAAGTTAACTTTATAACATAATACGTACTGGTGGCACTGTCAGAAAAGCATTGGACTGCCAACTGTGGAGTTGATTATTCAAACCCATCAGGCACTTGAAGGAGAAAGATGAGGCTTTCCACTCCTGTGATGATTTACAGCCTCAGAAACTCTGTATAAGGTCACTGTGAGTCAGAATTGACTTAAGGGCACTGGGTTTGATGTTTATTATATATTAATAATTGTCACATTATGTGTTATAATAGTAAAGAAACCGTGCTATTTCTTATCAAAAAGGTAATAAATCTTTTTAATCTCATAAATATGTATAAACCTCCCTCATCAAAGCCCACACTTTTTTCTGTTTAATTATATTCATTGTTTATTTCTCAAATAATTGCCATTCACAGCAAACAGATGATATTTTGAATTAAGAACATAGCCAATAGTTGGCCCTGCTTTGTTAGTTGGCTTGGGGAGGGGAGGGCTTTGTTCTTGCTCTGTTAAATCGCCATGCTGGTTTTATCCCTCTTTACTTTTCCAGGAGCCAGAGCACAGACTAGAGGCTGAAGCTGACCTGATCATAGAATTAATTAGCTAGGTGGTGTGCATATGTACCTCTGTGGCAATAAGCCAGCAGTGTCCCTAAAATGTTTTTAAAAGAAGTTTCATTGGCATATTAATTTGTACACTTGATAGCAGGCGTCCTCAAACTATGGCCCGCGGGCCACATGCGGCCCGCTGAGGACAGTGTGCATAGGAATTTGTTCATAGGTTGTTGTTTTTTTTAGACTATAGTCCGGCCCTCCAACGGGTCTAAGGGACAGTGAACTGACCCCCTGTTTGAAAAGTTTGAGGACCCCTACTTTATAGCAAAGTTAACATTTTCTATAATTTTGTTCAGTTTCCTTTTTATTATTTAGGGCAAAATTCCTGGTTATCAACTAGTAAGCTGGTGACAGCTTTTT